GCAATTTTTTCCATAGTTGATTCTACTTAGCCATTTCCTGGAAGAAACTAATACACTTTTCGATTTTTCAATTTTTCGTAATGTCGTTTTTTGGGATAAAGATGTATTTTTCTGCATTAAAATAATTTCAAAGTGTATACTAATTTATACCATTGGATTCGTCATAAAAAATCCTAAATTTTAGCAGTGTCAAAAAATTTTCTAAATTTTTTCTGTTCATTTTTAAACGTTTACAAGACGATTTTTTGTTTTTTACGCAGAATAAAGATATCGAAAAAGTGCATTTTTTTCAATGAAATCGTCCTCCTAGGTCAAAACTGACTACGGAATTCGATTCTACACACAAAAATACGTAAGAAAACGTCTTGTCGACATAAATTTTACCTTCTGAGCAATGTTAGCAATCTGTTATATGATTGCCATTTTCAGATCGATTTTACTAAATTTCCGAAGCACGTTTTTAAACTTCAAAAGCCTATCGACACCGGTTCCGGTCACTTTTTTGACTTCTGCAGCCCGGCTTTTTTCATCTGAAACCTTGAACTTTCAGCTCAGCCATGAGCCCAGGCGATACAAAAAATTTTTGCAAAAACGACCCGGTCTAATATACATATAATATACATTGACTTTTTCGAGTGTTTTCATCGGTTAATTAGGTTACTCAAGACACTTGTGCTGTTTCTCGTATATAAACTTTGCTGTCAGTCGCTCGATGAAATTCTCCTGCTCCAAGTTGCTTTCTTCAACCTTTCGCCCGAAGAGTTCGCTCGATATACATGATTTTATATTGTGTTAGTGAAAATCAAGTCGGCCGAGTGCAGGCGTATAAAGGTGCACCGCATGTGACCTGCAGCCCGAATGTATAGCTTGAAAAATAAATATTCCGAGTACGTCGCTGCAGATATCGATGCACCGCAGTAACATCAGTAACAGCCACAGTAACAGCAGCTGTTGCTATCAATTTAATCATACGCTTTTTTCGCTCAGCTTTTCCATTTAAAACTGATGGAAGAAAGTAAAATAATGATTATTATATTTTTCACCGGTAGAAGTAATAGTTTTTCAACAAAACGAAGGATTTAAACGAGTTTCGTTAAAAAAAAAAAAACATATCTACACCAATCGATAATACTATTTTTTCTCACGAAATCCTGAAATTAGCGGCAAAGTTGCTCATATTAGTATAGAGTGGGAAAAAATAACTTGAATAAAATACCCTAACTCCTGCCGGTATGATACGAGTAAAATACTCAACAAAGTTTTGTGTTTTTTTTTGTTTTCATGCAGTACGCCATCTACGGTATGAGTCAAGGCATAGCAGATCGGAGCGTTGTCAAGGACATCACAAGGTGCTTCATCGACTCTATGTACTACACACCGTCATTGACGTCTTCGAAGACCGACGAATTATCGACAATCGACGAATAATTTTGTCACTTCTTTGCTTATTATTACTATTTTACTAATATTAAATTATTATGGTATATATTTTTAAGTTACAATTATAGCTTGTAAAAACGAGAGTATTTTTTATTTTAAATAATAAACATTTCTTTTTTATCCAATGAATTTGTAACCCGCAAATGGTGAACAGTGTTTTTTCATTATTTTTTATTGACATTGACAGACATATATAATATATATATAAGCAACGTTACAGCATTGGAGAGATGTTTTTTGGCTTCAACTTTATCGGGCTGATAAGAACGAGTGAAGAAAAAGTCTCTGATTTGGTCAGGGTGCGCAGTCCGCTAGCTTTCAAGTATATACGCAACTTCTTATTATGGATTGGAAGAGGTTTTACGGAGGTATATATACGCCGCTACGTGCGAAAGGTGAATTTCACCCAAGTAGCTTCGAATGTTGACTTTCTTTTTAGTATCTTTTCACCTTTTTCGCTCGAGTTATGTCGGGCATTTTCCCTCGAAACTTCGGAGCTTGCACACACACGCTGGGCAAACGTACGCGCTCTTGTGTTCGTACGAGAAAAGCGAGGATGCGAGGAGAGGGAAATAGTAAAAGGAAGTGGAGAGCGAATTAGTATTGAAGCTGTCATTCTCGAATTGTTAAAAAAATGCAACATCTTTTAAAATGATGAACCAATTGCGACCGTTGGACTAATTAAGTAGTGGGAAACGACGATTTCGCCTTATGATTCTTGACTACTCCGAAAAGCTTTGTAATCGTTTGTTTGGAGCTCATCTTCGCTCAGCAAATTAAACAATTCATCGCGGTAGGATCAAAGGAGAGGCAGTTTAATTACATCGCACTAGTCATACTGGTGAATCTGCATATAGTTAGAGCAACAGCTGCTGCAGTTGTACGAGCGCGGCAGTGCCTTATTTGCTGGAAATTCGTCAGCGATTTCAGATACGTAGGCAGCAGCTACTATACGCCTGTTTTATTTCAAGCGCGTACATATTTTTCGATTAAAAGGTCTCAACGGGTAGCTTCCGCAAACTCGATTTTGCACGCATAGCGCATAGCACATTGTAGGCGCGTTTATAATATACGAACTCGAGCGCGCTGCCGCATGCTCATTTCATTCGGGATATGGCACGAGCTCACGCGAATCAACGTTTCACACCCATCGCTGCTCTGCCGCCCGAGATTATTTCGTGAAAAGTTTTAACTGATTTATATGGTTTGTAAAGTTTCTCATTCCGTTGAAATATAACGTAGTTGCAACTCGCTGTTTTTGGCAGGTACTTTTAAATGAACTTAATTAGCCATGTTTACGTTCTCGTTCACTTTGATACATGCAGGCGCAGTTTATTTCACTGCCTCAGCCTGGCTACAGCATACACGAACGAAGACCGCGCCGCGCGTCGATGCGTGCGTTTTCCCGCATATTTGCACGAATGCGTTATACTTATAGACCACGTGTGTGCATACGTATGCGTATATGGTAAACGTGTCTCAGCTCGTAAAATTGCGCGCGCCAACATTTTTACCCGAAAAATGTCTTTAACGTTCATTTATTACGGAGACGCTGAATGGCCACGTGTGCCTGAGATCAAAATTTATCCGTTTAATAAAAGAAACTTTGTGAAGAATGTAACACGAGCGCAGTTGAATAAAACGAAACGCAGAGCGCGCCCAACAAAAGGGGGGTGCACAAAAAGCAATTCTTTCGCCTGTTGAATAATCAAAAGCGATCGTCGACGATCCCCGAACTCTAAAGAGATTCTTCTCTTTTGACACTTTTCTTTTTTTTTCACATGGCTACTCGAGAGCTGTAGAAAGTTTAATCTAATAAGTAAACGCACGTAGAAAAAAATAATATAGGCAGGTCAGCATCCGAGGGAACAATTTTTCAACTATCTCGAGTCACGCGTCGATAGAAATTGAAAGCAACAGCACGAGAAGCGCTTGTTTACACAAAAAACGTAAATCGCTGCACACGAGCGTTTAGAAATTTTACGAGAGATTAACTTGCAGTCGTGTTGTAGCTAAAAATTGCAAGCGTGCGTCAGGCTAAGAGTCAAACGAGAAAGAGAGAGACAGAGAGAGCGAAGGAAGGGAGGGAAGCTGAGAACGGCACAATGAAGCAACAGTAGTGCTTACAGTATAAATTTGCTCTTTCTCTCTTTCCTCTCTTACTTATACTACACCATAAAAGCTTTATGACTACCGCTCGCGCACGTGCATTTTTCGTCGCGGCTTTACTCGCTTCGGCTTTTACCGGTGTGAGGCTACTACTATACGTATACGTTTGACGGAGTGCGCGTCCAGTCGAGAAGTAGGCCGATCGTCAAGGCAAAATAAGAAATTTGCATGAGAACTTTTGTCACGATATTAAGCCGAGCTGACAGGTGTATAAGAAATGTGGGGGTCAGATATGTAAATGCGGCAGATATACGCATCGGCAGAGAGCCTATCTACGATATAAATATATAACAGATCCTTTGAAGTTTCAACTCGAGAGCGCGTATACGTAGCCGAAGCGAAATGAATAATTCAACCACGAAAACAGAGAGCGCGTGCGTAGCTCGAGTATATGAACCTCGTATAGTTCTACATGCGTTTTGCATCGTTGCTTATATGCGCTGTTTTATCTTTCTTTTTCTTTTGTTTTTTTCTTTATTTAGCTGCGAAAAACAACATGTATTATAGGTAGCTCGTAGTTGGCGGATGTGCGTTCGCTCGTGGCTTTATCGTATTAAAGCCGCACGAATGCGAGAAAAAAATTTTCGCGCGCTCGTTAATATGCACACGCGGCATCTGCATTTTTAACTAAGAGCCATCAATCTCTCGGTTCTCTTAATGATGTATTTCAGCGTTTAAATTTGACCGAGGAGCGAGCTATACCATGAGTTGGCCTGTAATGAGGCCAAGAATCGCTTTTTCTCTCTCTCACACACACATGCTATCTCCCTCCCCCTTCCGTTTTGTAATAAAATTTTAAATACTTGTCGGTTCGGAAGTGATGTTATACCTAGTTCCTTGACATTTTCTTGTACAATTGTTGCAATTAATTACATTTGACAATAAAAAATCGAAGATTATCTTTCAAGCTACTTAAATTCATAAAGACGTTTTGAAAAATATTGTTCGAAACGTCGTAAGTTGAAATAAGAAAATGGCCAGCAATTGGTCTTAAGAAAGAATATTTTGTAGAACAAAAATTGCACTTAATGAATAATAATTAATTCGATTACATATCTTTAACATCACCATGCACATGCATACTATTCAAATCACTTCAAAATTTATCCAAAAGTTTGTATCACTAGGGAAAAGGTCACTTTATGAAAAAGTGGCCGAGTATCACGGTACAGTCACCCTATGTAAAAGATGCCGTATCATCGAGTCGTTGTAATTTATGCGAAAAAATATCGAGCGAGAATACGATCAGAGCTGTGCTTTTTCAAGAGACGTCATTTGACGGAGAACGTCGCTACATTTCAAAGTTAGTACAGGCTTGGGTAGTCATAATGAGAGCTGTATCGTTATTGCTTGTTTCGGTGAGGAAACAGCTGCTCAACTGATCACATACAAAGGCGATCACGCATACCCAAGGGCTAGCAGAGATCGGAGGATCTGGGAAAAAGTATTGACAAAATCTCGAACGAGTTTGCGCTTTTCCATTTCATTCGAAACGTGAAAAGACAAACGATACAGCTTTATCGTCGGCTATTATGTAGGTAGGATATAGGAAACATATGTGGCATGTAAGCGCGGGCCGATTCAAGAAAATTGTCCATGTGCGTGCAGACTAGCTGGAGAATGCGTATAGACGAATTCGTATACATGCACGATCGTTGGCGAGAAAATGGAAAAACGTCGATATTGACTGGGGCCATAGATAACAGCTGCTCGGACATGGTGTGGGTATATATAGAGGAGCTTGGTTTCGCCACCAAGCACTTTCTATCTCTCTCTCTCCATTTCTCTTTGCTCCCCGAAGTCGACTCGACTCGACTCGTCGCATTGTGCAGGCTGAACATAGTCAAAGTACACGCGCGGCATCTTAGATCGTTCGCATGAATATATAGGGACTAGGGCCAATATATATTACGCGCGTACACACCGAGAGGCGTGTACTGTACAATAGGCGGCAATAGCAATGCGATTAGCATGCAGAACACAGGTACATGCATAGAGAGTTGGCTCGCAGCGGAGTAACACACGCGGGCGAGCGAGCGATACGCGCGCATTCTATTTTCCAATGCGACGCAAACGCATACACTCGCATGTACCAGTACCATATAAATACATACATACATACATAGGTACACGTTAAAAGAGCTAGAGGAGTTAGAGGAGCTAGAGCTGCTCGAGGAAGAAGGTGCACAAGCAGTATTACGTGCACCATCTACATAACCAATTAAATTCACTGGCAGTTTCTGCGCTGCTCTATATAGAGGTACGCGCGCGAGCTGCTCGAGCCACCCCCTAGCCCGGTAACAGCTTGACTTTCGATCGATCCTTTATGTGCGTACGTTACCTTCACCTACGTATATACTATCGGCCGCGTACCTACACACACACACATGTATATATACACGTAATATCTGCATACGCGTTCAAGCTCTGCCCTCCCGAGTGTATTGTTCCATGGGATACGGCTGAGAGACTAGAGACGCTGTTCGTACAATGAGCTGCTTGACGCCGGCCGAAAGTGGAGATATCCGAAAATCCGCAGCTCGAAGAAAGCCACAGCAACGCGACACTGCTCGATGCTCTCGAATCACAGTCGTTAGAGCGGCCCCGAATAGTGTCGTGTTATACCCGTCCTAACTCGTCATTTCGCGCGTAGGCAGTTTATTCGACCTACATACGCCTGCAGCTCGAGCCTCTTTTATTATAAGTGCGCGCACTCGAACACGTGCATGGTACAGGGCATACGCACACGCGCGCACACACCAACGCTCCAGCCGCACTAATGGCTCTGCAACAATAGCGTACGAAACCGCAAGATGAGGCCGAATGCGTAATCGCGCGATAGACTAACTACTGCGCCGCAGCTCTGCTAAAGCACTAGTGCTACATTACATATTTTCGAATCGCCTTTTATCGTGAATCGTTTGACATTGCCTGCGGGACCTTTTTTACGCTTCCCATTTCAATTGAAAAACTCGTTTATGACAGACAAGACTTGTGCAAGCTAACTTTTCGACAAATTATTTGCGTGACATTGTTGACACTTTAGCGGCTGGCTTAGCAATATCGGATGAAACAAGGTATTCGATAGTTAAATGTTTAACTTACTGTTTTTAAGACGCTGATATAGATTCCAAGGACTTCTTTCAATCGTATGAGTACACATAACTTTTTTTTCTTTGCTTACATAAATAACGTGTAGTTTTATGCATCACAAATGGCGCTGCATTTTTTTCGTACTTTTTAACCTGTTTGTTTGTTGTTTCGACGACACAAAAAAGCAATTTCGTCAAATTTTTTATTTCAACGGCAATCGCTAAATTAAATAAATCAATAAATTCAACTTAAAAAATGCCTTAAACGTGTCTAAAAATAATACAAATATATAATTCAATTGAGTCCAGTGATTGGAGTAAAGTGAAGTGGTGCAAGTAAAATCCACAGATCGAAACTCCCATTAAAATGTATAGAAATCTATTTTTCAAAAAAAAAACAATTGAAAAAATGTTTTTTCTCCCGTTTTCTTTTATACCCTCGTCGTTGTATACACGAGTAATGATCGTTATTTTCAAAATTATTTGGATCCTCATCACAAAGTGTTAATTTAGAGTTTTACGAAAATAAACTTGTTGCAGTATAATTTCTAATAATAATACTTTAAGCCCTGTCGTGACCCTGCGTAATCGAGAAATCAATTTTTATAATTCAAAGAAGGCTTTCAATTATTCTGAAAAAATTTCTTACATATTTTTTGACTGATTCTGGAAACTGCATTAAAAACGCGATTAAAAAAGCAGAGTGTCTTAGTTAAAAATAAGAAAATTTATTCACCGTGATTGAAAATTTCGAAAAAAGTTTAAAAGTAATATCCAAATTTTTGGACAATGAATGAATAATGAATAAAAAAATAAATAAATAAAAAAATAAAAGTAGACAAAAAAGTAAAATCATTAAACAACGAAGTTGCGAAGCTGTCAAGATGACCGCGGCGCCAAAGTTTGCTTACTGTTGTGTTTACACCTACTTTATTTATATCATCACGATTAGAGCGTTGTAGCAGGAGAACATTTACTTCTTTGGAGGAAGCAGAGAAATTAGTCGTAATTGTAGTACATAGCCGAGAGACTCAGGCCACCTCGAAATAAACAAAGATCATATTTTAAACATTGAATTGAAATCCGTAAGCTGTAAGCTGGATTAACTCGTGTATAGTGAAAGTCTTGGCCAAGGGATGCGACAAATATATGACGTACGCATGTATATTTAATGCTCGAATTTTCAAAGAAAATTATTAGATCCTCTGTGAGAGGCAATTCAACTTTAAGGCCGCGCATACATTGCTCGTCAGAGAGATAACAAAGCTTTGATATTAAGCTGGACTGCGATTTTCGCAAGTGTGGTTAAAGTTTATCCTGCCCCGGAGATTCAAGCACTGACGAAATATAAATTTATTCCTTCAACACGCTTGATCTTGGACGTCGTTATTTCATTATTTATACAATGTGCGCTGAATATCCACGAAGAGGCAACGGACATTTACGTTACTTTACTCTTACAATGAAAATTTAAATTTTGAAATAGTCTAGAAATTCGGTCCATTTAACTTAAACAGACGCATAGAAAAGAATCTTGACAATTCCCGTATTACTATTATCACCTCCCTTCGAATAATACATGAATTTGAGTCGCAAGGGCATCTATGTCTATAATAGAAGATGCGAACACAGCTGAATAAATGGTCTTCGTCCGAAAAGACTATAAGGGTCGCTCCCGGACTCTTATGTATCTTGAGAATTAAGGGACTTGAATGTCTGCACGCTGCTTCCAAGAGACAAAAAGTAAAATATCAGAACAATATGTGAACTGTATTACGTCAATAGTAATACCGAAAAGTGAAATCAAAACTAACAACCATTTAAAATCCAGTTCTATAATTTTTTTAAGACATCGCTTATTGAAAAATCGATACTGTGCCTTAGCTTACAATTATTATGTTCATTTCAATACATTTATTTTTTTTAAATTCAACTACACACCTCCAACTCTTGCAAGGAATTTCATAAGTTGCGTCTGCATATTAATTGTCGTCTCCTAAACTTTGATGACCATATTCATGCTAAAATCCTCTTTAGAATTATTTATACCACATAATAGGGGCATCGAATTATGAAACACTAGCCCGTGAGCAAAAACGATGTTCCATAACATGGACACTAGATCGACTAGTTTCAAACTCCAACAAATATTTTTTTCTGCATTTTCAATGCATATATAATGTTCATTCATATTCTGAAGTACAAACTGTATTGATAAAACCACATATGGAAAATTTATTAAATCGTTTCATATGGAAAATATAGACTTCTTTCTTCAGTTTACTCGTAAGATGTGTTCCATAATAAGTCCCTTTACTTTATATGAACGTCACATTCCAAACTATTTTCATCGCTCGCTCTCGCGATTTTTGTTACGCACCTTAGCTTACGTAAGATCTCACACATTAAAAACGCCTTGATTGTCGCCATTAACACTTTTATCAGAGTTCGTTAGATCACACAATTTTTCGGATCATTAAATCATACCATGCATGCCATTGCATCTAATATATGGTCTATTTCATGTCAAGCGTGATATACCAAAAAATGACGAAGTATGTACTCTTAAAGAGTATACTGTAAAATGAAAATCCTTAAAATTTTAGCCCTCTCGACCCATCTCTCATGGATCTGCACGAGCTCTAAGTTGAATTTTCATTTTCTGATGTTATTCTGCTTGTTATTCTGTATTTCTGGGGCGAATGTGAAACAATTGTTAAATCATGTTTATTAAAGTAAAATTTTATGTAGAATTAAAATTTGTATTTAAAAATCATACTTATTACCTCGAACCCCCATAAAAATGATAAAATAGTATAAAATAGCATAAAAGTCCACAAATAAAGTTTTTTGTATACCTCAAATTGGCCAATAATGAAATATATTCTTTCGAAAACTAAAATACAACTTTCTACCAAGTGGCGTAGTGGAGAAATCAATTCACTCAATTTGAGAGTATACTAATGGGTCAAATAAACATAAAAATGAGGAAAAAAACATGTTTTTTATAATATTTGGCCTATTCTCAGTAAAGTCGAATGGCTAAAAAAAATTTTTTTCGGTAAATATGAAAAACTTGTTGTTTTCGAAGTCAGAAATGTCCCAAAAATTATTGAGAAAATTCGGGGCCTTCTATGACCTTTTTCAGAGGCCTAAAGTTAGCGATTTTAACATTTTTCCGCAATTGATTAAAAGTCGCAAATATTTAAATAATTCCTAGCTCAGTGCATAAAATGATTCAAATGCAAAGGAGCTGTTTTGTTTGAAATTGTTAAAATTTTTAGAAAAAATGTATACCAAAGTAATTGGAGTACGCAGAAAGCTTGAACAATAGAAATAAATTGAAAAAAAAAAAACAAAATACACGAAATCTAATCGAGTTTGATACGGACTTTCATTTTCAAAACTATTTAAAAAGCTTCCTGAAGACGACAACTATTACCTGATGAAGTTTTGTTATGAGCTTCAAGTGGAAATGGACTGTAGAAAACATAGAGTGCCAAAAAACGTGCAAAAAAGGCGAAAAATGGCCGTTTTTTGGCGATTTTAGGCATTTTGGGCTTCTCCAGATACATTAGCATCTGGAAAACCCCCCTAAGTGCATAAATCGATTAAAGGCCTTAAGAGTTTCAAGGTGAGGAGCGAAAGAAAAGAGGTTTATTAGTTATATTGAGAAAAATTATCATCGGAACTAAATCCAGAAATACCAGCTCTATAGACGGCAATCAAAGTGTCGCGAACACGTCAGTCTGCCCGTGTGTGAGTTTATAAATACAGTGTAGCTATGTACTTGAGCCCGAGAACCCACTAAAAATGTCGCAAAAGCTATTCGTTTCGTTGACATTGACTGAACTTGTATATTTCTCGACTGTTTTTTTTTTTGACGCAACGGAAAAGTGTGAGGATGATCGAGTTGGGAAAAATCAAATCGGAACACGCAGCTTATGAAGAAAAAGAATAAAAAATGTCTGCAGCGAACGCAAGCTGTTGGCTATCTAGGCACACACGCACGAAGGCACGCACACGCCTGCGCGCGCGAACTTTTGACTGCGGTGCGGCGAGAAAAAAGCTCTCGCGCGCCAAACTAGCTCGCGTGCGCACCGGTGTGTACACATAGACTTTGGCACAGTGCACCGCCGCGAGTCAGTCAGTCGGTCGGTCGCTGCGTAGCCGGCCCCACGTCTTCGCGTATCCGAGCCGCATGCACAAGTACCAGCAGCGTTCCTACTTACTATTTACTACGAGCTGTTATAACGGTGCGCCACGCCAGAATGACTCCGAAATCTGGTCAGAGTCTTTTATGAGACGAAGCTCCTTACCGAAACATTCTCAAGGGGATGAGTGATGCGCGCGGTTTGTGCGATTTGTACCAATGAATTATTTTCGTTTAGTGCATTCGTTCAATTTCACCTGAAAAAGTGAAAGTGTTGGTGTGCTAGCTGTATAAAATAATGTGTGCTCCAAAAAGCTTCAATGAGCGCCAGTCTGCAGAACAAAAGGTGAGCGACAAAGCTCTTTAAAGTGAGTATGTATGCAGTAAGTTACGCGAGCAATTTTACACGATTTGCGATAAAAATCTAGAAACAGAAGGAATTATAGAGTACCTAAAGCAGATGCAGTTTCAAGTTGTTTTTTGACGGATCGCAAGCGTGCGCGCCTCTTTTTTTGCACTCGAGAAGAACACTGGTAGCGCGAAGCGGCGTAATTAAAACGATGCCATTAGCGCTCGATAAAAGGAAAAAATGAATTGCTAAGTTTTTATCTACTTTGAGAGCCTGAGTGTGTGCGCGTGCAAAAGCGAGTTTTCGTCTATGTTAGAGTATGCATTTTTTTGCCTGTATGTAATTTGAAGCGATTATGACGAGTCGAGTAGAGAAAAAAAGTATAAAGAGACTGAAAAGAAGATTAGGATATTTCTAAAACCAAGTTGACGGTCGAATCTCATTATAATTACTCGCTCGCGCGAGTCAGTTCGGCGATTTACAAATGCAGCTCGAGCTCGAGGCATAAAATATACACGAACACACGTGCCGATGCCGTCGCAGTTGCCGCTGACGCCGCGAGAAGTAAAGAAAAAAGGTTACGCAATGATGCAAATAAACATGCCACGCGAGCCATGCACTGACCGTACACAGCTGTAGCGATCGTAGCTCGCCGCTTTTAAACGTATAACATGAACTTGTAACGCATACATCTATCGGAGATGCGCATCTTTGATTTTCGAATCGTAGAACCTAGAGAGCGATCTTCTTTTTTTTAAGCGACAGAGCGTACTTGCATTTTCCGAGTAAAATCTTGCCACAACTCGACGAATGGGTGAGCTTTCCATCGCGCTTTTCGCGCAATAACGATACACGAAAGCTGCCTTTTTTTGCTGGGCTCTTATTGTTGAAAAAAAAACTCGGACCCTTTATGGTGCGGTGTATTGCAATAGAAAATCCTTCGTGGCGAGTTTATACAAAGTTTTTTCATTTATCCGAGTCGCTTGGTCGAATTTATCCAAGCGAATGCTGCTTTCTTTCTTTTCTTCTCGATTCTCTCTTCTTCTTTACTTACCTTGTCTCGTGTTGCAAGCTTATAAACTGAATTTCATCCGTTTATCCATACGGATGAGTTTAGTGGCGGAAGCACGAGCTCGAGTCGGTGAAATGACCAAATTATCATCGCTTGTTTCTTTATCGAGTTTCACTCCAGCGCTTCCTTTTTCATCTCGGCGCTTGGCAAAGTTTTTCCCAGTGTAATAATACGATATCCTCTCGTCCATGATCCGAGTACGCGCAATCTTTCAACGCGCGTGTATATATATGCGGCAAGTGTATGAAAGCAATTTGTCCATTGCAGTGGATATACGTATAAAACTGGCCAATATATATACGAGCAAGCTTGATGGATGCGAAACAGGCTGCTATTAATCGGCACACTTTTTGATAAATCGATTCGCTTGTATTTTCCTGCAGTCTTCTCTTTCTCTCTCTCTCACTACCTTCTCTAACATAGCTCAAGTGGAGAAAATGCTGACTTTCATGATTGATTTTCGGATCGTTCTTAACATCACTCAAACACTTGTTTCCTACGTTTAATATGTGTATATCGACGCCAATTAAATGCTGACTGCTTACCCCGTAAACTCCTCAATTTTGCCCCTGAACACCATTTTATTTATTTTTTTGTCAACTTATAAATCACGGATCCATAAGGTTGCGTTTCAATATATTGATTTTGTTCTGTAAGCCGCTCACGTCGTCTGACTTATGAGTCGGAAATCCTTGGGCCGAGAAAACATAATCTGTAAACGCGTTGCTGCTAGTGATGTTGGTGTACTGTGCCGTTCTTTGCGCGTTTGCGTGTATAGGCAAATATTTCGCGATACGATGTTTATCCGGCTATAAGACGTCGCAGCGTTTCATCGCACGCTGATGCATTAACGTGTCAGCTGTGTGTCGCGCGCGCGCGCTCACTCGCTCGAGCAAGGTCTATCTTGGCTCGGTATTTTCGTCTTTCTTTAGCTTAAGACTAGGTGACAAAAAAAAAAAAAAACAAGAAAGAGAAGAGGAAGGCAACATTTTCATTTTTTGCCGACGCAACAATTATCGCTCGTGTCATTTCTCATGCTCGTGAACTTTCTCAACGTGTAATGACTGTTACAAGGTCTTCGGACCGAGAATACATACCTATTTCCCTCCATGGCTCTTCTCTTTCTCGATCACGCTTACACAAATCGCGTTTTATGCCTTCTACCGTGCGTGCATCTAATCTTAGAGAGGTGACCGCGTGACCGTGACGAGAGAGCGCGAGGCTCCCCTCGGCTTAATATGAGCATTGCTTTCTGCATCTCTCTCTCTCACACACAAACTTTTTCTGCGTGTGTATAACTTTATATATAATGTATATCTAGTATACAACGTGCGGGGTGAGCTGTCGCCCGATTCGCTCGAGCTTTTTTGGCGCTTGTATTACACGAGCTTGTGCGTTCCCGAGCTTTTTGCTGAAATATGCTGAAAGTTAGAGAGCGAGAACGCTAAAACTGAATGCAACGCATGCGACTTGGTATAAGTGCTTCTTTTTATGTGGCACCCCGAGTGTAGGGTAACTTACACTCCACCATTTTTCATACTTTTATATAAAATCCCCGCATATTACATTTATATTGCACATGTCTCGATCTTTTCCAAAGTCACCCATTATATGTTCGAGCACATATATTACATGAACAAAAGAACCAGAAACATCATTTTTTTCTGCACGTGGTTTACCAATTTGAATGCGCTTTTGGTATGTTATAGTACATAAAAAATAGTTCCCAATTCGAGATTGTAATAATATCGCTCGTAAGCGATATTAACGTCATATTGACGTCCGTTTTCTATTAAAATCCATTCCAAATCAAACCATTTTGATCCTGAAAAATCTAAACAAGTTAGAGGCACAGTTCAACGTCCTAAAAGCCTTGAATCTTTTCAAATTTTTTACACGCTCAGGAAATTTTAGAGCGAAGCCTCCTTTTAGAAACGAAAATATCATTATTTTAGGACAACTAAAAATGTAGCAAACATTTTTTCTTTCTTTTCACACTAAACTAAGTTACCTAAAATTTCTTCAGATTTTTTAAACGAAATTTATAGTTTTAACTAATTTTGTCTTCATATACTTTTTAAAATCGCGTGTATGATGTTTGCGATTTTCTATCTCAAAAAGGAACTTGTATACGTAAATTCCTCAGAACTTATCAATTTGAAGCTCCGTCTCTAACAAACGATTTTTGTAGAAAATATGGAAAAAAAATAAGATTATTCATCTACATCTTTTAGCAAGTAATGTCCTACAAATGGATTTACGACGTAAATTATAACGTTATATATAATATTTTCTCGATTCTCAGTGAAGTTGAATGGTAAAAAAAAACTTTTTTATGCAAATATAAAAAAAAAACTTGTTGTTTCCGATGTCAGAAATGTTCCCAAATTTTATTAGAATTTTCGGGGACCTATTATCTGTTGTCAATCAGTGAATATCATAAAAATGATAACAGATAACAAAAATAAAAACATTTCGACGTTGGTTATCGATTCCTATCGCCGGTAATAAATTTTTAAAATTTTCAATGATTTCAAGGCTTTTAGGATTTTTAAAAAGGGTCTTGGCAAATTTTTTTAGATTTTTCAAGTCACAGATTGCTATGGAATCGATTTTAGTAGATGACAGATTTTTGGCGAATACAAACAATTTTGGGGTCTAGAATCTCACCTCGAAAACTATTTTTTTATCTTTAGTAACAGACCTGAAGCATGTATCTAAATCGGTGACTTATACGGGGGTGGAAATTTAAAAATGTATTATTTTGATTATTGAGAGAATTGACTTCTGAGATACTCAAAAAATGACGCTATAAAAGTGGCTTTTTAGTCGGTACCACTGCAGTTTTTTTTATATAATCTTGGTGAACGGTTGACATTCGTTTCTTATTTTGGTTCATTTCTCATATATTGGCCTTGAAATAAAGTATCTTGATCGAAACGAACCGTGAAGCAAGAAATTCAAGTTAATAAAAAAGAGATCTTTTCAAATCTAGTGAGTTCCGGTGTTTGTTCGAGTTCAGGTATCGTTTATCCATTTACAATACAAGATTATATAGCTTCTGTGCATAGAGGCTGAAAAATTTGTTCACCGTGCACTTAATAAAGAACGTTCATAGCATTGAAAACCTTTTCTTGTATCAATTTTTTTGTCTGTGTAAGACGCATTGACTTAGTTATTTTTATTCAGATATCAAACTTTGTTACGGATGAAAGTGAAAAGTAATGTCATGTATTGCTACAAGCCTACATCACAGGCTAATACTCGTAGGTTTATGTAAAAACAGAGAAAAAGGAAGATCTAGACCAGGTACAAAAAATTGGGACAAAAAATTGTATTGTTTTTTGTGCACATTTTTTGTATGCAATACTCGCGAGTCAGCATTATAAAGAGTAGTATACTTTATTTCCCATTCAAAATCACAAGCCCATTTTCCGCTCGAAGAAATCGGTTTTTCTATATCCGACTTACATATAAATATATAGTGGTATATACGTATCGACAAACCCATTTGTAAATTTACGACAAAAATGGCTCTGTACTGATGATAATTCACAGATCCAGAGTTCCATTTTTGACTTTAATCCATTTTCTTGTATACATATTGCACATGCATGTACAAACATCAAATGTGATAAAAATAACCGGAAGAATCTTTTAAAGAAAAGTATTATCTTGGAAAATCGGTGGCACACGCGTGCGATATTTTTGATGCACGTACGTACGAAAATTGACAAATGTATAATTCGAGTGTAGCTCACCTGACAAGAGCACGCGCAGCTCAGCAGCAACGGAGCTCTATAATTGGACGCCACCTGCCAAAGTATCACGAGAGCGAGCTACGTGCGTACGCCCCATACAAAACTTCTCCGTACCAAATGCCTTTCTTTTATACGCTGGCGTTCATATATACTCTCCTAAGGTA